GAAATGAGAGCTTCTGACAAAACTTGAACTCAAATCACAATAAAATTGCAGAGAAACAGAAAGAAAATTAATCAAAATTATTAATAAAAATGCTTTATCACACAACATTAAAATAATTGATGATTCCCATGAGGTCAATGTGTACTTCTACCAAAGCTCTCCATTCAAATCTACCTTCTTTCTGCTTTATACTAACAATCTACTCAGGAAAATTCTCAGATCATTATTAAATATCTATGCAGATGATACCACAGTTTATAGGTTCAACCCTAAAAATCTAGATGATCGGAGCCTGGTAATTGATCTCCCATCTGATCTAGCTCTAACAGCAGACTGGCATGAAGAACTAGCATGCAACATTAAATACCTCCTAAAATCTAGGAAATGTTTTAACAGAGGGCAGAAAGTGTGACGCTGAAATTTGAAGGTGTATTGAAATAGCAAAGATGCCTTCCTACATCATTAGAAACAAAGAAAAGAGTACTGAACTGTTATTTAACATCAGCTATATGGAAGTGAATGCTGGAAAATCTCCTCACTTGATGAAGAGACTTGAAGTGACAGAGATGTTTTACAACATGATGCTGAGAGTAACATGGACTGAACATGTGACCTCTTATACTTAACATAAGAAAGAGGCAATTAAAATATTTAGGACACATAATGAGGAAAGAAGGCTTAAAAAATTGATACTCACAGGACAGATCAAAAGCTAGAGAAAACAATGCATTACCTACTTGGCTGATGAAAGGATGACAGAGTATGGTTTGGGGAGATAGTGAAAAGACAAAATTTATTGAGAGCTAAAAAAATAGGAAGTTATGGAAAGTCATGATCACCAACATCCTAAAGGGACATGGCACATAGAAGAAGAATGTAGTAGCATCACTTAGTAGACCCTAAAATTTCTTCATCATGAGCTGTTGTACTCTAAAAGAGGCTCCTTACTTTGAATATCTAATAAGACTTAAATTCATCCCATACCTAAAATAGGTTATATATATATATATATATATATATATATATATATATATATATATATATATATATATATATATAAAAGGCAGGATATGTGTGTGTGTAACAAATGCACGGCCACAATTTTCAACGGATTTGCACCAAAATTTACATGCACATGCTCCAAGTTAGTGGGAAGGCCAAGACTGAATTTGCATTTCCCAACTCCCATTGATAGTGGAAATAATCAATTTTTTCATGCTTCTACGGCAGTTTTCATGTAGTTTGCAGCCATTTTCTACTGGCCAGAGTGAGAGCCAATAGCTGGCTGCTACGAATAGGCAGGAAGATTCTATTGGTCAGTGTGAGAGCCAACAGCTGACTGACACAAATGTTAACTAGCATGCTACATGCAAAAAAATCGATAGCTGCATTCTTCACAAGTGGGAAAAATTTAAATCTGCATAGCACTTTACTCCAATTGGCTCATTCGCTTGCTTAAACTCAATGTTGATTCTGATTCCACAGAACTGGGTTGGGTGTGAAAAAGTATTTGTTTATAATATTCATTTTTCATTTGGTTTTTCCAGTTACGAGTCCTTTTTTTTAAAGCTGATCATTTTGTGTTCATTTTGTTTAGTTCTTTTTTCGTAACAGATTTAATGTTTAGTATAGAGCTTAGAAAAAATTTGCAGTGTGAGATAGGCAAGAAGTAAGGCATGTAGCAACATCAGCACGGCAAAGGGCACTCCTTTAAAGGCAAGGAAGACCAATAATAATTTAAGTCAATTGATAGCGATTGCTGTATGAGTTGTATGATTTTTTAATCAAGCACGGGCAACGCCAGCCATGCTGCTAGTATATATATATATAAAAGTGAACATTGCATCTAGCATGAAACAACCTGTTGCCTCTGAGTGTTAACTTCAATGTTCACTTTTATATTTATATTCACATACACTTTGTCTCTGATATTGAGCACTTTATCCCATAATTATAGCACACTTTAAAACTATATTTCTTCATATATATATATATATATATATATATATATATATACAGGGTGTCAATAAAGTAACTATTAGTTACTTACAATAACAGTTATGACAAAACAATTAATCAACAGTCCAGAAATTTATTATTAAAATGATTCTTGTTAATAACAATAATGGTAAAAAATAGTGAATTAATTACTGCTAATGTTTGAACTGCAAGCCATCTGCTTCAATGCATTCCCCACAATGTGAGAGAATGCTTTGAGAAATGTCATGATACAAATCGTTCTGACGGATTAAGTTGGCAAATGCATCTCATATAAATTGCTTGAGGTCATCAATATTTCTAGGTTTCTTTGCAATAGATAATTCCTCATATAGCAAAATCCATTGTGGTTAAATCTGGTGAGCGAGGAGACCACTCAATGCTGCCACGTCTTCCTAGCTAACTTCCTGGAAATTTTGCATCAAGATAATTTCTTATTTTCAGATTTATCAAGATAATTTCTTATTTTCAGATTTATCAGCTACAGTCATGAAGCTATGTCACATGTATTGTTTTGCTTTTTTCTAATTCTGCTTTACTTTTTTATTATAAGTAACTGTATAGGGACTTTATTGCCACCTTGTATATGACTCATTGAAATAAAGATGCTGGAAGATAAAAATCACAATCAGTAGCCCTTGAGTACTTCTTGGGCCTTGCATTGTGTGAACATTTAGTAGAAAAAAATGAAGTTTGAATAAAATTCCATAGGTTTTGTAAAACCGTTTTTGACAAACACTTGAATCTGATTTTCAGTGGAGAAGGTTTTCTCCATCAAAGTATGTTTACGGGAAAGAAAGAGGTGGTATTCGGTTGAGGCATAGTTAGGTGAATATGGTGAGTGACAGTAGAAGTTCCCAAATGTTTTCCTACTCTATGTGGGCTTGTATTGTCATGGACAACCAGATTTTTGTTATTAATGACCAACAGGCTATACAGATAGGAATAGCAAATATTGAGTGAAAGCATGAAAAAGTTATGTTGTGCTGTAAATAGGAAAAGTTAACACATTTATTTATATAGAAAATATGAAGTAGTTTATTCTTTAGAATAATATGGTATACAGTTGAGAACATAGACTAATGTAATAAAATAGTTAGCCATTAACTCGTCTCACTCAGTAAGAGAGAATGCTGTCTAAATTGTTTTAGACCAGTTCATCTTGTGGGGGTGTTCAGCTACCCCACAACAAGTTAACTTCTCTCAAACTGGCTCATGTTCTCTCTAAACTTTAAAATAAATGCTTTGCTAACTCTTGCTTTCCTGCTTGTTGGAAATTGTTCTCTGTTGTTCCATTCTTTAAGAATACAGGTGAACTGTCTGACGCTTTGAACTATCAGCTTATTAGACTTCTACCTCATTCTGGCAACTACTAGAGGCCCTAATCAAATATCAATTGGTTAAGAATCTCACATTGCAGTGCCTTCTTTCAGACAAGCAATATGGCTTTCACTTGTGGAGATCAACTGCTGATTTAGTAACAATTGTTGCTGAAATAATCTATCAAGCTTTAGATAAGAATGGTTAAACTCAGCTGTTGATTTGGAAATCTCAAAAGTGCTTGATGGGATTTGGCATACCAGTTTTCTTCCCAAGTTGAAATGTTATGGTATTTCTGGAGGAATTTTTGAATTATTTCACTCCTTCTTATCAAATTGCAAAATGAAAGGTAGCATCTACTCTTCTCGATCTTTTTGTACTAATGAAGGTGTCACTAAAGGCTCTATGCTTGGACCTACTTGGTTCTTAATTTTCATCACTGACCTTTCTGATGACACGAGTTTTCAACTTGGTATCAATTCTGATGACACAAACGTTTACTCCTGTCTTGATAGTAAGTATGATCAGATCAATAAAGTCAAACTGTCAGCTGATCTAAAAAATTGTCTTCAAATACTTTCATGGTAACTGCACAGATGAATTCCTTGCTATCCTACTTAGACTTTATGAATTAAAATATAGTTCTAGATTGGCTGCAAGGTCTCATCAATTCACCATTGAATTGGCTAGATAAAGTCTATGCTAACAGTTTTCTCACACCTCTCTCTTCCGGCTCCATGCCCTCCAGACAACGTTGATCTACAAAAATTTAAATGCAATGTCAGTTGTGATCTACTGATTTCTCTTCTATTGTTTTTGATCCTTTTATAGTGTTTCCTTTTTTTGTATTCTTTTACACTCAGTAAGCCTTTGTGTCTTAGGAACTACCTTGCATTGGGTGAAATGATTAAAAACAAAATAGTTACCTTCTGACTTCTTCAAACTGTTGTCTCCACATTGCTGATATATCTGCCAACAGACTCCCTACCTTGACCCATGTGTTGAAATGTTGATCCTCAAAGATAGCAAGTTTCACCATCACTACCTTTTTTAGGTCAGTTTCCAAATGACACACATCCAAAGATACTCTTCTTAAATTGCTGTCTCTCTCTCTGTAGGCTATTATGACTCTCCACAGCCTCCTGTTTTTTGATGATCTCAGTAGTACTTTTTCTTTTATTACATTTCATTGTGATACATTTTCCTCCATATTTGTTAAATATGTTTACATGCTGCTTTTTTTCTGTCTCGTTTTTCTTCAATGTGGTCTGTAAATATTCTACTCTTTATGCTTTCTTTCTTCCTGACATGCTTCCAAGATTTCAATAAACTTTTAGCAACAGTTTCCACTGAAGATATACAGTTTATATTTATGATATGAGGAAAACATGATCAATAGGTTATAAAATAACACTGAGAAAATATGAGAAAAAGCATGAATATTGAAAAGGGTTGGTTGGAAGTAAAAAGAGATACTTACCAAATTACTATACTTTTTAACAGCTATTTTGAAATTAGTCTTTTATGCCATTTATATATTTTTCTTTTTTTTTCTGTCTGGAACAGTTAGCCTTGAGTAGGAATTTAAGTAAAATAAGCAAAAATATGACACTTACAATGATGTTGTCACTGCACGTTTTCATCATTGCTGATTAGCTACACTATGCAATCAATATGATTCACTATCTACATGATATGAACATTGATGAAACAATGAATTGACATCTAAATAAGTAAGAAAACAGAGAGAGGGATGAAGGGTGATTTGAAGAGAGAGAAATAGTATTAGAGAGAGGAAAGGAAAGAGAGAGATAGAGAGAGAAGTAGTGACATAGAGAGGTAGGGAAAGCGGTAGAGGGAATTATAGATAGATCAAGGGAAGGAGAGAGAATTTTAGAGAGAGAAGTAGTGACATAGAAAGGTAGGGAGAGTGGTAGAGAGAAGCAGAGATAGAGAGAAGGATAAAGTGTGGTAGAGAGAGAAGTAAAGATATAAAGAGGAAAGGAGAGTGGTAGAGAGACTAGATAGAAGAGGTAGTGAGAGATAGTAGTAGAGACATAGAAATTGAGGGAGAGTGGTAGAGAGAGAAGTAGAGATAGAGAGGGAAGGAGAGTGGTTAAGAGAGATGTAGAGTTAAGGAGAGGGAGACAGAGTGGTAGAGAGAGAGATGTAGAGATATAAAGAGGGAAGGAGAATGGTAGAGAGAGAAGTAGAGATAGAGAGAGAGAAGTAGAGATAAAGAGTGAGGAAGAGTGGTGGAGAGAGAAGTAGAGATAGAGAGTGAAAAAAAAGAGAGTGTTAGAGAGAAGTAGAGATAGAGTGAAAAAAGAGAGTGGTAGAGAAAGGAGTAGAAATAGAGAGAGGGAGTGAGAGTGATAAAGAACAAAGTCGAGAAAGGGAAGGAGAACTGATTGATTGATTTGTTCTTTATGGCTTATCAACCTTTTGTGGGTTATTTAACTCCAAAACATATTTTTTGAATTATTAGGTTGGTGCAAAAAATAATTTCGTTTTCTCACATAGTAACATATGTTAGAAAACGAAATTATTTTTGCACCAACCTAATAATAATGTTTTTTGTCAGTGAAGACTGATATTACCAAGTTATAGTGATTATCAGTTTCAGATACAAGTCCTACTGTTTAAACCCTAACTGGAGAGAGGACATGGATTCATGACTTTCTCAAGGATATTTGAGCTTGAGTAAATTCAATGAACACAATTCAAATTACAGCACCTGGTATTCCCAAGTGGTCACCCATCTAGGTAGAAACCAGACTCAACATTGATTAACTTTAGTGATTGAATGAGAACCCCAAGGGAAAGAAAAACAGCAGTACAAAGTGAAGATACAGAGTGGGAGAAAAGAAGAAGTTAAGATAGAAAAAGAGAGGGTGAGAGATAGGTAGAGAGACAAGTAAAAGTAGAGAGAGTGGTAGAGAGAGAAGGAAGGAGAGTGAATAAAAATAATGAAATAACTGAGAAATCAAGCAAATGCAAAACAAGAGACTTCAGTGGGAGAGTAAGGAGCATGATAGAAAAGAGTAAGGAGCATGACTGAAGAGTCCTTGGGACGACATTAAACTTCAGAGAGTGCATCCAATCATTCTCAAAACCAGACACACCAGACAACAAACTGTATAACAAAATAAAAAAAAAAACAAATAAACAAGTTTAAAAAAAAAAACAATTTAAGATAATGAGTCAAGTCATAAATTTTGAGGGAGAATACGACATGAAGAATCCTTGATTCCATCAAGACACTGCAATTAGCAATCTATTGAAGATTATGCCTATGGTTCATGCAAACTGCAGAACTTAAAGATTTTAGAAGTAAGCAAATGTATTGAAGTCTGTCATGCAGTGAAGTTTTTAGATGTGATTTTTTTTGCTTTTTTTTTTCAATTATGTATACTTTGTATAAGGCCTGAGAGTCACATGGGGAATAGGTTTTCAGAATAAGTGTCACAGCTTTTGCAGATATGTGTGGAAGATAACTTAAAAAGGGTAAGATTGTAGTGATTGGGGAAGTATTGTCTTGGGAGTCAGTTCCACAAAGCAATGGTTCATAAAAAGGAACTGCTCAAGTAGAACTTAGATCTCACCAATGAAATACAAAGAGAATGAGGGTTTGGTTGCTACAATGTGCATAGCATGGTGGATCTTAACTGTAAAGGGTAGGACTGGTTGTTCAGATGAACTTTTTCCAGTGAATAGTGATAAATCAGCAAGAAGTTTGCAATGTTACATCTGTAAGAAAGGAGTTTTTGGGTGGAAAATTGTTCATCACCTATAAGGGCGTGGAGATGCTTTTGGACTCTATCGAAAGTGGAAAGTGAAGACTCCCATAAATTGCATATTAGTTCAATTACTTTTAACATTATTATAGTAGATACTTTGTATATGAAATGTACTCCATTTTTATTTCTTAAACAATGTGTATTATGTTGTCATGTCCATAAAGAAATAAATGATTAAAAAATTAATTGTACTGTCACGGTGTTGTATCTATGAAAAAAATTAAAATATATTTTATCACAACATTTTGGCAGCATACTATGCAACCTGTTATATTTTGGAATGCCAAATTTTGATCTGAAGGAGTTGTATCTGGTACCTTGCATTGTGAGTCCTTGAAACTGTCTATGCCACATTACCTACATACTGTTGAGTGAGTAATAAAATCACAAATTTTTACTTTATTGTATTTCCAACTAATGAATATACATTCAATAGAATTAACTGTACACAGATGCATAATATCTAAATATGCATAAAATACAGAAACGATTTGGTTTTAATAGAAATAAATCCCATTTATCTATTTTAATGGGTGAAAAAAAAAATTCCACTTGAATAATCTCGAGTATTAAACTAAAATTAAATTAAAGCAATTTAAAAATTTTAAAATCTGAAATTTGCATTGTGAGAATCTGTTTCACAAAGTAGTATTTTTGGGGAAGAAACTTTTAGAGTGGAAAACCCTTCTTACCCAAGGAATATGTAGGGAATGAAGGCCTCAGCTGGTTTACTTGCTTTTTTTGTTTTTCTTTCCTTGAATGCAGTCTGTGAGTATTAATTTCTCCAAGCCCTCTTTCTTCATGTCCCCCCCAAATTTCTGCTGAGAGTTAAAAACAGTTTCTATCTTCTTAGAACACCTCTCATTTGTCACATGCGCTCTGTGCAATAAACCAAATACAACAGGAAGGCTGAAAGCTACAGAAAGCAAAACATTGTTATAAAAAATAACAAAACCTGGGAAATCAACACAAAGGAATCAACTTAATTAAGATTCAATACCTAATTAATTGTATTGTAGTAAATTAATCTAATGATGTTTAATTTGAAAATTACTTTTGAAATCATTTGTTCAAGAGAATCGTTGATTTTACAAGCTTTCAACTAGAGATTTATATTTACTTTATATTTATGAGATGATAGCAGATTATCTAATGATTAGAATGTTAGTATTCCAGCTATTAAACCTAGGTTCAAATCTCACCATATTTAATTTCTAATGAAGGTCGCCTCTTCAAAATAACACCCTGGGGAGACAATTCCAGAATATCTCTCTGCTGCGAAGAACCTGAAAACCATAGTACAAGTTTATCAAAAGTAAGTGAAATTTGGTAGATAAATCTGTCTTGGTTATGCTAGAACAAATTTACAAGTTATCGTGACCTAGGATTTCATCATACTGGCCTTGTTCAAACTGCCAGTTTATGTGTTCTTTCTTCCAGAAAGTCTAAGGTCTGCTTAGCACAGTTGCAGTATATAAAAGAAATGTGCTCCCTGGGTGTTGAAGAAGCATAAATTTGCCTGAGTAGTCATCTGCAACAGGGATTAGCTAGTCACCTTAGTAGACTAACCCTTTAAAATGGGCAGTCAGCCATGATTTATGATCATAGATATCAGTTTTGGAGTTAGTTCTGTTTGTTAAACTGATTACTAAGTTTCATAAAATTCACCATATAGAGGAATATTGGGGGTAGTAGAGTTTTAGATCGTATTTGAGATAGAAGTTCCAAAAATTGAGTATGACGGCAAAGAGATTGCACTAATCTGTTTTAAAAGATTATAAAACTTAAATGAATATTTATTTTTTTAGTAGAGGATCTTAGAGAATAGAAGTATTAATTGAGTCAGCAAACTTAATTCATTCTCTTTTCTTCTTCTTCTTCTTCTTCTTCTCTGGGCCATGTCTCTTCAATATGTTGGTAATCATGACTCTCCACAATTTTCTGACCTATGTAGCTCTTAAAATATTTTGTATTTTTGTTATCTCTTTTCTGACATCCGTTTATCAAACTCAATAGGTTTGTTAAGCATTGTCCTGCTTGCCTTCAATGTGTCCTGTGAGTATCAAATTTTCCAAGCCCTCTTTCCACATTATGTGCCCCCCCACCCGAAATTTCATCTCACTCTTTCTGATTTTAAGTATAAGTTTTTTTTTGTTTGGAGAGAAAAACCTAACTACACACTACACACTACAAATATCTACATTATATATGTATGTAATGTTCACTTTTGCATCAATTTAGTTAAGATCATATATATTCTCTTTTATGTAAATCGACTTAAAACATTCTAATGAAAATACTTTTGTTGTTTTATGATGCAATGAATATGCATACACCTGTGTTCCCCCTCACAGAAATATGATTGGCTGGTGTCAGCCGTAAATACAGGCTGATGTAGAGGTACAGGATGACACCCATTGGACTACGTCATTGGCTATCCTATTGGTCTATGCCTATTGCCAATGCCTATTGCTTACGCCTATTGACTGCAACTACGACGAGTACCAGTTCCCTTACTGCTGCCTGCTAGATTGTTCTACTCGGTTACCGTAGCCTAAACCATTTAGCTACTTCGATCAAATATATCCCTTTTGTGGGACATATCAATTATGATATTACCAACTTTATGATCTCTGGCCTTCTGGAGGTGTCTATCAAACCAGGGAATTTTGAACTGAACCCTTTATTTATTCTAAGAGTCTAGCTTGTTCTCATTCCACTATCTCTTGTCTTGGAATATCTCGTCTTGTTCTTTCTTAGTGGTGCTAGCCCTGATTTCACTGATTCTGAATCTCTACTACTCTGCCAAAGGTTTAAACACACAAGTAGTCGGATATTCCAAGATATAGACATCAAAGCTAAAACAGTCTAGACGTGTAGATTAAATAAAGAGTTTAATTCAACCGACACATGAAGAAGCCAGAGAATACAACAGCTAAAATATTTCACTTGCCTTCAATATGTCCTATGAGTATCAAATTTTCTAAGCCCTCTTTCCTCATTATGTGCCCCTAAAAATTTCATCTTTCTCTTTCTAATGTTAAGTATAAGTGTTCTTTTTCTTTCCATTTTCTCTAAAACTTTGCTGTTGCTCAAATATTCAGTCCATGGTATTCTCATCATCCTCCTGTAGAACCACATTTCTGTTGCTTCAAGTCTCTTCTTCAAATTGTGAGGAGATTGCCAACCATTCACTACCATATTCTCCTTTCTTAAATTTCTTAAATTTACCATTGCTTGGCTCTTTCATAAGCCCTTGAATGGCTTCCTAGATATACATTTGTCTTGGCAAGAAATTGGCAAATGTGACATACAGGTTCTGTATTATCCCTTGTGGGGGATATTTCTGCCAAGGGAAAAAGATGACTTTCAAGCCAGCATATGATTTGGCATTAAATGCACACACGAAGCATGTCAGTTTTACCTGCTGGTTAATTTCAGAAATTCTAGTTTGTCTATTTTGGCTATGGTGGTTCATATTGTTAACAAGACCTACTCTGGGGAGAAGAACTATACACTAAAAATATCTACATTATATACATATGTAATGTTCTCTTTCATATCAATTCAGTTAAGAACATATATATCTTCTTCTATGTAAGCATACATTTTAAAACATTTAATGAAGACAATTTTGTTGTTTGCTTAATTTATATTTGGTCTAATCACATTTTGTTGCTGTTTATCATGTTGCCAACATTATGACCTCTGGCCTTTTTGAGGTGTCTGTGAAACCAGGGAATTTTGAACTGAACCCTTTATTTATTCTAAGAGTCTAGCTTGTTCTTATTTCATTATCTTCTGTCTTGGGATATCTTGTCTTGTTCTTTATTAGTGGTGCTAGCTCTGATTTCACTGATTCTGAATCTCTACTACTCAGTCGAAGGTTTAAACTCACAAGTAATCAGATGTCCCTAGATGTAGACATCAGAACAAGGACAGTCTAGCCATGTAGATTAAATAAAGGGTTTAATTCAACAGCCACCTGAAGAAGCCCAAGAGTACAACAGCTGAAACTTTGGGATAACAACAACAAAGATGCGATTATTTGTCTGAATGTAATAATGTAAATAACGGTACCTCTTCATCCCAGAAATTGATATTCTTTCTCTTTAGAATTAAATTAGAATTTTGTGAGTACATGTGTGTGCACATGTGTGGGTCTGCATGTGAGTGTCTGTATGTGCCTCTGTGGATGTGCATCTGTGTATGTTGGTGTGTGTCTGTGTGCATATGTGTGTGACTATGTGTGGATGTGTTTTTATTTGTATGTGTATTTCTGCGTGTCTCTGTGCGTGT